CGGCTCAGGTCATGATCCTGGAGTCCCGGGATCGAGTCCCACATTGGGCTCCCTGCTCGGCAGGGAGTCTGCTTCTCCCTCTGACCCTCCTCCTCTCATGCTCTCTGTCTCTCATTCTCTCTCTCTCTCAAATAAATAAAATCTTTAAAAAAAAAAAGTTATCATAGGATATAGTAATTTCACTCCTAGGGCCTACTAAATCTGTTCCAAGAGAAATGAAAATATATGCTCACATAAAAATGTGTGCACTAATGTTTATAGCAGCATTATTCATAATAGCTAAAAGGAGGAAAAAATTCAAAAGTCCATTGATGGGTGTGAATGGATAAACAAAATGTGGCATATCCATACATAGGAAATTATTCAGCATAAAAAGGTATGAAGTGCTGATATATACTATAACATGGATGCACTTTGAAAGCATAGTAAATTAGTAGTTGCTTAGGGTAAGAGGCATGGGAATTGGAGGTAATAGCTAAGGGATAATAGAATCTTAGGGGGAAAAAAATCAGGTAATCTGGTTCAAGAGACTGGGCTTCCAACCCCTGGGCTATGGCATCTCTCTTGACCACAGAAGCCTGCCGACCAGAACTTTTTGCTGTATATGCTCAGATACTTTAAAATACATATGGTTTTGGGGCGCCTGGGTGGGCTCACATCATGATCCCGGGGTCCTGGGTTGGAGCCCCACATCGGGCTCCCTGCTCAGTGGGGAGCCTGCTTCTCCTCTTTGTGCTCTCTCTCTCGCTCTCACTCTCTTTTGCTCTCTCCCAAATTAATAAATAACATATTAAAAAATACATATGGTTTTGATAAGCATGGGGGAAAAGTCAACTAAAAGAGACCTTAAAGAAGGTTGGCTTGATGAAGCTCAATGATAAATGGATGGATAGCATGTTACACTAGGTTTTAACATCTATCTGCTGTACCCTTCCTTCCCCATGGAAAAAACCTACCATTCTCTTTTCGTTGCTGAACATCACAAAAAATGTGGGATAAAAGTATCAGGGTAGGACTCCAGAAGAGATTCATTACATTGTTGCTCTATTTAGCTAAGTTCACCTTTCAAAAATGGCCAAATTGAATTCCGAACTTAATCTCTCAAGGAAACAATCTTCAAGTTGTGAGAAAGTGTCAGGTAAGTAAGTGGTGCACCGATACTTCAAAACTGAAAAGCTGAAAACTTTTATTTCTCTTGCCTTTGTAAAAAAAAAAAAAACCAAAAAACCAAAAAACTCAATATTAATTTCTGGTACTCGCCGACAAACAGGTGTGAAGGGCCCCCTGCTGGCCCTTTACTAATAAATACTAAGTGAATTGGAGGCCTATACTCAGTGCCTTGGCCTGGCATGTGTAAACTGTCTAAAATTACCAAGATACTAGGCTCTTTGATAATAGTCTCAGGTTGTAAATAACCCTCTCATCATGACCAAGGCTGCTTTATTTTTATTTTTATTTTTTAAGATTTTATTTGACAGAGAGAGACACAGCAAGAGAGGGAACACAAGCAGGGGGAGTGGGAGAGGGAGGAGCAGGCTTCCCGCCGAGCAGGGAGCCCGATGCGGGGCTCGATCCCAGGACCCTGGGATTGTGACCTGAGCCGAAGGCAGATGCTTAATGACTGAGCCACCCAGGTGCCCCAAGGCTGCTTTAATTGACCCGGGTTTCATGTGAACAACCATCAGTCAGAAATGGTAATATGAAAAGGCACACACCTTGTATTTGTCCCTGTTTTCTTAGAGGAGGATTTCATTCCTCAGGTCTCCATTCTAAAGCTCCCAAAAAAACTTTCATTGAAAACCTGATTATGTCTATGGCAATAATAATTTTAAAAAGTGCCCACAATTACACATTCGGTAATTTCCCACATTCTTTCCTTCTTACCCACCAGATGGTGCTACTTCCTTACATTTCCTAAAGATATCAATTTACTCATTACAGTAGGTTTTAGGTACTCTGTGTTCATATTCAAATTTGCAAATTTCTCTTATTCAACATGCTGTAATGTAATAAGGAATTTTGTAAATGGAAACCTGTCAGTTGCAACTGAAAAGCGAGGTGCTTGACTTTTTAAGTCACTCTTGTATATTTAAACCAGAAGAAAGGCCAAGTGGTCACAGGCAAGTTGTAGGGACAGAAAACACACTCTCACCAGAGACCCCACCCTTCTACCTGTATGGTATCTTATTCCTAATGTGGGTAAGAGTAGATGTGTTCTCATCCTATAAACACTTAAACAATTAAAAACAAAATAGATTACCTGCAATGATCTCAGAACTGTAACTTCATCTTTATTAAGATTTGTAAAGATCTTGCAATATTCTTCCCCAATCACAAAATGTAAAGCAGTCTCCAAAATAAGGATAATATTTATTCTGAACCTAAAAGCAACCTTGGAAATGAAAAGATCTGAAATTAGGAGGGGGTAAGTACTGGATGTGTGGATCAGGTTTATAGGGCTGTGACAGAGATAGGGCAAACATTCCATTTGCTCTTCTACATTTCCTGGCCCCTTTGCAATGGAATGAGTAAAAAGGACTTAGTTCTAACCAGTGAAATCTTAGTGGACGTAAGTGTATTATTTACAGGCTGAGGTAGTCAAAAGCCCATGCGAGTTTCTCAAGTTTCTCTCTTTCCCTAACAAAATACTGAGGAAGGTGCATGTCCAGGATGGTGCAGCTAACCAGATGGTGGCAGCTCCATCTCTGTGTGGATCTCTGTGTGGAGCAGAAAGTTTGCCAACTCCTATGGGACATGTAATGGGAACAA